TCCGGCCTTGCCCCCCCCTGCCCCCCCATCCTCCCCTCCCGCTCTCCGCTCAGCAGAAGGGTCCCTGCCTCTCTCTCTCCAAGCTGCGGCCGTGACGGGTGCCCCCCCTAGCCCCCTAGCCTGACACCCCTCTCCCTCCTGCAGCGTACCCTCACCATCCTGGGCCACAAGGTTTCCATGCACTACAGTGACCCCAAGCCCAAGATAAATGAGGACTGGCTTTGCAGCAAGGTGCGGGGGACTGGGGGTTGGGGGAGGACATGGGGGAGGCAGGCAGGATTCTGGGGGCAGGAGGTAGGGGCTGAGTGGGACTATGGCGATGGGGGGAGAGATGGTTTGCTCTGAGGGCAGGGGAAGTGAAAGGGGCAGGGAAAAATGCTTAGGAGAGGCTGGAGGGAGGAGGTGGGTTGAGAGCAGAGGAGGCTGGGAGGCCAGAAGCCTGGGGGCTGGCCTGGGACATTGGCGGAGAAGAAAGGGGGCATGGAGCTGGCTCAGGGATGGTGGGGGATTGTCATGGGGTGGGGAGGGAAATGAGGTCTCACAACTTTTCCCCTTCATGTCCCTCACAGTGCGGCGTCCAGAACTTCAAGCGTCGGGAGAAGTGCTTCAAATGCGGTGTGCCTAAGGCTGGTGCGTGGGGGCTTGGGGGTTCTGCAGGGGCTGTGGGTTTCTGGGAGTCTGTGGGGAGGCTCCAGAGGGGCCTGGGCTGGCTGGGCCCTCAGGGATCCTATAGATGGGTGGGGAGGTGGGCTGGCCCTTGTGGGGTTATGGGGGGCTGGCAGGGTCCCAGGAAGGGGGCTGAGTGGGGGAACAGACCCTGGGAGCAGGGTCCTGGGCTGACTATCCCTGTGGATGGGATTCCAGGGGGACTGGGGGTGCCAGGGCTTGGATGTGCTTTAGGGGGTTGGAGTAGTAAGGAAGGCCTAGGGTCTAATGTCATGTTCTCCCTCTCCCTTCTAGAGGCGGAACAGAAGCTGCCCCCTGGGGGCCGGCTGGAGGCGCTGGCGCTGGGGGGCCGGGAGCTTAGCCAGGGGGGGCTCCTGCCCTTGCCCCAGCCCTACCCAGCTGTGCTGGCCCAGCCCCTGGCACCACCTGAGCCCAGCGCTGACAATGCCAATGACAGTGAGTGCCTGTAGAGGAGCATGGGCTGGGGCTGTGGCCAGGGAGGGGAAGGAGGCTGGGTAGTTATGAACTATCCCTGTCTCCCCTTAACAGCTATCATCCTGTCCCCACAATCTATACCAGAGTCTGGGGGTGGGGTTTAGAGGATCTCAAGGGGCCAGGTTGAGGTCTTTTGGAGCTGGAGCATCTTGGTTGGGGTTGGGCATGCACTGCAGGGACAGTGCATGCCTGGGAGATGGCAGGGACCTGAGGGGGGAGTCAGGCATGGGTCTGTGGGAGCTGGGGGCATCTCAAGGGACTACAGGTAGGGGTCTGTTGGGGTTGAGGGGAATCTTGGGGGCATGGGGTAGGGGTCTCGGAGCTGGGGGAATCTGGAGGGGGGTCGATGTCATCTGGGGTGCTCAGGCAGGGGCTGGTGGGGAATCTGAGCAGGGCTCTAGGGATCTGTGAGGCCCATGCGTTGCTCCCCACCACTGTCCTATTGGCAGCCATCATCCTGTGCAGCTTGTCGCCCAGTGCACACCAGAATCCATCCAGGGGCTTGTGGCTGGCTGTCGGGATTTTGGGGGGCAA